ACCCCCTGAATTTGTGGGCACTTCAGAGGTGTTTATATATGTACAGGAACCCTCTGGGTCAGTCCCAACTCTGGGTCTACTCAGCCTGCTGTGCAGTAAGCGCTCACTAACTGTTAGATGGCTGGAACAGTGTGGAGGGAAGAGAAAGAAGGAAATCCAGGAACATTTCCAGCTTTCCTTGTGGTTTGGGACCCTGGCTAAAGTGGAGGCCAAGTTGGAGAGAAGTGACATAGTGGGTCTGGGACACACCAAGACCGTGGTGTGACTAAGATGTCAGGGCCCTGGGGTTTGGTGCCAGCTCCTCAAGGACACCTGCCATGGGGACTGCAGCAGGGAAGGGAGGCCTAAGCAGAGTAGAGTCTCAGAATCCAGGGAGCAGCCATGATGGCAGACACCAAGAGGACAAAGGGGATGGGGACTGAGAAGAGAGGGTCCAGAAAATGTGCCGGGCCTGGGTGAGGATGCAGACACTTGAGAGTGGGAGCTGGGCCTGGAGCTCCTTGAGGGTATGAGAGGTCCCCCTGGTGCAGTCATGGAGGGAGGGGTGGGGAAGGCAAGGCCCTCTGAAGAGCAACTAACGGTGGGGGGGACCTGCCCCCACGCTCCACCCCAACTCGAGTGCTCAGATCCGCCCCCCCCAACTCCACTCTCTCAGCGCTCAGGGTCAAGGCCCCTCTCTCCTCCACCACATCTCCTGCGGTCCCCTGAGACAAGGTATCCTAGCTGAGGGGGTTCCTCCCTGGGAACTGTTGCCTCAGCTCAAAGTCAAATCAACAGCAAAGTCTTCCCAGCTGGGAGGGGTGGGAGGCCCTGGACAAGGTGAGTGGGTCATTTCTGTCTCAAGACAAGGGACTGAACACAGTAATTTCTGGAGGCCCCTTTCTAATTGCTGGACACAAAGAGCAGAGTCTTGTCCAAATGGAATGGGGAAGGGAGGAGACCTTTTTATAATGGGGCGGGGGGCGAGGGGTAAAGCACTTGCTGCCAAAGAGCATCAAGGTCAAGAGCTCAGACTCGTGCGAGACTCCCTGTGTTAAAATCCCAGCTCCTTCACTATCGGCTGTGTAACCTTGGGTAAGCTACTTAACCTCTCTGTGCCTCTGTTTCCTCCTCTGTAGAGTGGGAGCAATAGTAGTGCCTACCTATCTCTCGGGACTCTCGTGAAGGGGCAGTTCATGAACTGGAATGTGTGAAATGCTCAGAACAGTGCCCGGCACAGAGTGAGAACTATACAGGGTGGGGCGAGGGTGGGTTTACAGTTTGTATGGAAAATAATACAGTAGTTAATAAATAATAATACAAGAATAAATTCTGTTTCGTGTACTCACAACTGTAAACCTACTTTTGCCCCACCCTACACAAGCGTTTGATAAAATAAATAGAAGATGTTAGTGACTTCCGTTTGAGAGCCTCCCGGGCGCTGAGCACTGGGCCAGGGCGCTGGAGCTCGGCGAGGGTGCGAGAGGTCCCCCGCACAGTCATGGAGGGGTGAGAGAGAAACAGGCCCTCTTGTTAGAGGTATTTACGTTACCTCTAATCCCCACATCCCTCTATAAGATAGTTCTTATAGTTCCCATTTTACAGGTGAAGAAACTGAGGCCCACAAAGGCGAAGCTACTCGTCTAGGTTGACCTGGGCCGACTCTACCAGCCTCTTTACTACACCAGGCTGCTTTTCTCCACCACAAAGGTGGGGGGGAACGAAATGGCTTCCCAGAGGCCTGTCTTGGTTCTTCCTGCCCACTCCCACAGCTGAAGACCACTCCAAGGTGCAAACCTTCCTGGGTTCACCAGAGCCTGGGAAGATTTCCTGGTCGTGCAATGTAACTAACAGCTCAGAACTTCAACCATCTCATTAAGCAATTAGCTCTGGGAGCTCCAAATCGCGGAAGTGACCTCACTGGTCACTTGACACCACCCTGCCACTGGGGCTGGAGGTAATGGGGGTAATCATGGCAGTGGTGGTAATGACATTGACCATGACGTTGTCAAGTGACAGAAAAGATGACGGCTCTGTCAGATCTTGATGTTGGTGGAGGAGGTGATGGGGCTGGTAATTGACCTGTGGTAGTTAAGGTGATGACTAATGGTGGTGGCAGATCCTAGTGTTGATGGAGAGGTGACGGTGGCGGTGATGGCCCTGTGGCGGGGCTCTCGGCCTCCATTCCTCCCTCCCAGGTGGGGAGGCTGGAAAGACAGCAAATGCATCCCCTACCTCGCAGCGTTTGCATGTGGAATGTGTAAATGACATTCACTCAAGCAAGATCCAAGCTAAAGTGAGACTCTTCCGAGCTTCAGTTTTCTCATTTATAAAACGACGATACACAGGGCAGCGCCTGCCACATAACAAGCACTTTGTAAATGTCAGTAGTTGTTGCTGTTTTTTTTTTAATTTTCTTAATTGTTTCTTGCCCCCTTTTGGCTGTTTCTGCCCACTAGCAAGGCTGCAGTAATGGGCATTTGTCTGCCGCAGCTTACTGGTGTCGGGTCTCCAGCTTCTGGCGGGCTTGGGGGCAGTGGCAGTGGGGAAAGTGGTGGGAGCAGCTTCTTAAATGCAGCCTCCTGATCCCCAGATTGAAGCTCCTTGAATTCACAGCTCCTCCAGGTGGTGGTTCTCTTGGTGGGTCAGTTGTGTACAGTCTAGGAGTCATTCCTGGAGACTTGGCTCACTGAGCCTCTCCAACAATCTATGGAATGCCTTTCTGCTAAAAATACCAAGGGAGGCTTTCTGTTTCCTATTCTGAACCGTGACAAACACAGAGTGAGAGCCTGATGGTGGAGGCTGCTGATACTTAAAGTGACACACGTGGTGACTGGCAAGGCTTATGCGGCTAGTTTGGTGGGTGCCAGATCTTGGGATTGATGGAAACGGTGATGACGCCAATGTCTGGTGGTGAAGGCAGGGGTCACAGGAGGTCCGGGTGCACGCAACAGAGTCTGACTCTGGCTGGCTTATGAAGAAAAGAGAGGTGTTGGGGAGCTGGTGATGGACGCGAAGCCCAGAGATCCTGGCTCAGATAAAGAGCAGGAACAAAGGAAGTGACAGCATCGGGCAGACCAAACCCCAGTTCCAGACACAACTGTCACCACCAGACACCACACTATTGCCCCTAAAGACCACCTTTCTGAACGGATTCCAAATCCTCCTGTCTTTGTATCACTCACTCAAGATTCAAAGTCATGGGCTGAAGCACCCACTTGGCCCAGCCCAGGTTATGTGACCCTGTCCCATCTGCCAGAGAGTGGGAGAGGGGTCTGTGGTCCCTTCCAGCTTTAGTAGTAAGCAATGGGGCCTTGATGTCCATCAAGACTCACACAGTGGGGGTTTCCCCCTAAAAAGAAGTGGGGTTTGGATGCGGGGCAGCCAACAATCAACTAAAGCCCACTTAGTGAGGAAGCCTCGTGGTGATGATGGAATAAAGAAGCTGAAGGAGATGCTGCCTTCTTCATTAAAACAAAACTAAGTTTGGGGGCAGCAGGACCTTTCAACCCCGGCAAGACCCAAAGCCCCTTGTGATCACCCAGGGACTTCTGCTGTCACCACCACGGGTGCCCCTGTGGGCCACCTTTCATGCTCTGGCCAAGAGCAGATGGGACCCTGACCCTTTCCTTTATAGCCCAGGGTAGAGCGGGGACCAGAACATTCACACAAGATGCTGGCAGTGGTCCAGGGAGAACAAGGAGGAAAGACATCTTTTCATTTATTCCCCGCCCATTCATTTGGCACCCACCAGGTACCCATTAGAGCAGAGAAGGAGGGCCCTCCCCCATGGAGCTTACGATCTAGTGGGGAAGACAAACCAGGAACCCACACGTAGACGAGGTAAGCGCGGGTCTGGAAACACAGGAGAACGTGATGGAGAGGGACTAGAGGATTCGGCTCTTCGAGCTACAGCTGGAAGGGTGAGCAGCCAGACGTGAGCTGGGCTCTGGGGCAGGAGGTGTGGGCTCCCAGTCCCTGAGGCAAGGACACGCTTGTCATACTCGTGGAACAGAGAAGTGGACGGTGTGGCTGCGGCCTACAGAGCCAGGTGAGAAAGTAGCATTTTCCTTATCAACAAGGGCTGTCCTTTGATTAGAGGAACTTGTCATCAGGCGTGAATCGGGAAGGAGAAGACCGGCACAGTGCAGGCACCTGCACAGATTTGGTGGCGGTACGGTGAGGGCTTCTCCCGCCACCCCTCGCTGGGCTCCTGTGTGCTCAGCTAGGTCATTGCTGCATAGAGGGAGGGAGAGAGTGGCAGGACATGTGTCCTTTAGGCCACAGGTCCCCAGACCAGTACTGGTCCAGGCCTGTTAGGAACCCGGCTGCACAGCAGAAGGTGAGCTTGAATGTAATGCCCTTGAATCATCCCGAAACCATCCCCGCCTCCTCCCGGTCCATGGAAAAATTATCTTCCACAAAACTGGTCCCTGGTGCCAAAAAAGTTGAGGGCTACTGCATTGGGCCATGTCAGCTTTCTGGGGTCCTGGGTAGTCAGATACAGCCCTGAGGAACCCAGGCCTTAAAAGGCCCCGTGCTCCCGGGTACCCCCTGGCAGTTTCCCTAAGGGGATGGCAGTACTTTCTAGACTGATGCCTCCCTGTCACTGAGAAGAGACCAGTGGTAGCAACTGAAGCCTCAATCATCACAAGCACAAGGTCAAGTACAGCCACAATCATGGTCCCCATCACCTTCATACCAACAGGCACAAGGACAGGATAGGAAATCCTCAAGGGCAACATGCCCTTGGGAGTTGACAGGTCCCTGGTCCCCTCCTGGGCCTGTGGAAAGCAATGGGACTGTGCTGGTTAGGGTCAGATCAGGTGGCCCTTCCTACCAGCTTACAAGAGCGAATTCTGTGAATCTCCCCAACTCAGAATGTGGTGACATCACGTAGGTAACTTGAAACCAGCCACGGTGAAGGGCTTTTGGTTATTTTTCCCAGTTCCTCAGCATATCTCTGGACAGAGCCCTGGGAATGTGAGAGACCCTGATCCCCACCACTTGCCTCTGCAAACTCCAGAGCCTGGGATGGGACCAGCAGAAGGAGCCAGCCAACCGTGTGCCTAGAATTCCAGCGCGCAGGTGATGTGGTGGGGGGACATAGTGGAGACAGGAGGTCACCTATGGCAGAGACCTGATGGCAGACCAGAGACCCTGGGCATAAGCTCAGGTGCACCACCTTCACCAGAGCCTCTGCTGCAGCCCAGGAGCCCGGGGCCTGCAGCTTTTAGCCTGGCTGCCTGACTCACCCTCTTGACGTTGGGATCCAGACCTGGGTCTGTCCTGGGAGGGATCAAGGGCTGCTTCTCCCTGTTACCTGATCCCAGGATGAGCCCTGACTTTGGTCATAAACTGGGCCTAAGCCTGGTGACAAAGATCTCCACCCAGGCCCAGAGAGAGCCCCACCCTGGTTCTGGGTTGGGCACTGATCGGGCCACAGAAAACACACTCTCACCTCCATCTGCGTCTGACACAGGCTCCAGCTCATCCCTCGAATCATGACAAGCCTGGCCCTTGAGCACAGAGTGGAGCAGGCCAGGAGTGAGCTCGGCTCAGCACCGGCGTTCACCTCTGCAGCTGGGACTAGAGCTCTTGCCCGAGGAGCAAACTGTGAGAAACAAAACCAAATGAAAGCCCACCACACAGCCTCCTCCTTGCTTTAGAGACACACGGTCTCTAAACAGAGACACAGTCTCTGTTCTGAGGCCCTAACCCCTCCCGCCCCTGCTGGGCTCTCATTTTGGTTCAGAGAATTCTTGCCTTAAACCCTCACTCCCTGCTCTCTCCAAGTAGCCTCCGGGTCCCCAGGAGGAGAGGGAGCCGTGGAAGCCCATAGAGGGTGGAGGCCAGGACCTTATCTGGCTTATGGGCTGGGGCAAGACCCTTCCCCTCCCTGGGCCTTAGTTTCCCCATTTATACAGTCATGTGCCACTTCATGATAAATAAATACGTTCTGAGAAACGCATTGTCAGGCAATTGTGTTGTGCAAGCACCATAGAGTGTACTTACATGAACCTAGATGGCAGCCTATTGCTCTACAGGGAAGGATAATTAGTTTTCTCTCTATGCGTTGGGTTCTTGGCTAAGACGTCCCCATAATAAAAGCTAGGGTGGCGGGAGAGAAACAAACAGGTGTTTAGTAACATACATGCCTCCTGTGCACATACATGGAGGGACCCAGGAAAACTGAGCAACTTGCCCAAGTGGCTGAAGCCACCCCCTTAAATACTCTCTTCAGACGAAGACCAAAGAAGAGGTTGGGGGTGGAGAGAGTTACGGGAGGTTACCAGGCAGGAAGGGCTCAGTAAGGTTAGTATGCAGATTTCAGCCGTGGTCTTCTGCATTGATAGAATGTCAGTCCCCCCTTCCCTCCGCTACCTCCAGGTACGTACAGCAAAGGAGGCACCCTTACAAATGGATATTTTCCTTACAAATTTAAGTATCTTACACAGGGTGTAAGCTCTACTTGGTTTTCAGTGGCTCTCCCTGTCACTCCTTAAAATTAAGCAGCCTAAAGGAATCCTATGACAAAGAGACGTATTTGGGGATGACAAATTCTGTTTCCCCGCAGCTCCTAGGTTACAGACATGTACAGTGTGTTACTGTACTGCATACTGTAGGCAATTATAGCACAATGGAAAGTATTTGTGTAATGTGCTGCATTACAAAGTCAGCTCGCTACAGGGCTAAGACATCATTAGGCATGAATTTTTTCAGCTCCATTATAATCTTATGGGACCACCATTGAATCTGCGGTCCGTAGCTGACCCAGACGTCATCATGTGGGGTGTGTGACTCTATAGTGCAGCTCTAATATCCAAAGTTAAGGACTCTGGTGGAAATTTAGGGCCCCGTGTTCGAGGGTTGGAAGGGTTGTACTTACCGGATAATTCAGACCCAGGTACTGTGTTCAAGTCCTAGGATGTCCTCTTAGCTCTGGCACCTTGTACTAGCGACTCGGCCTCTCTGGGACTCAGTTTTCTCATCTGACAAATGGCACTAACACCAAGTTTATGAGGATCAGGTGAGATGGTGGCAAGCAAAGCGTTTTATAAATTGTAGCGTTCAGTCTTCATGGGAGGGAGGGGTGGTTGCGATGGCTGTTGGCATGGGTTAGTAATGGTTCTCCTTCCAGCAGAGCCCAGAGTGGGTCAGCCTGGCCTGGTCAGTGGGAGACCTCCTCAGAGCCTCCCTAGGACCCACGACCCCCCGCCCTACCCAGAACCAGCTCCAGCCGACATTAAGTCTTCTACCTGGCCTATCCACCCCCAGGTTGGATAAACCCTCACTGGCCACGAAGGGATCGGGACTTTAGAGCTGAACCAGACTTGGGGATCCCCAGCTCTCATCCCTTTAGGCTGGCCCAGGCAAGAGAAGGGCTTGCTCCAGGAGGCTGGAATGAGCTCTCTCCTACCCACCTCTTGCAACAGAAAACCTGCTTAAAGATGAACGTTGTCTGTTTGCTTATCTGCTGGCCCCTAGACTGAGTGTCTTCAGGGCAGGGAACAGCTGGCTTCATCTGGGTTCCCTACTGTGGGGGCCCAGCCCAGACAGAGGGCAAAGGGAAGGAGGGAACATGGGAGAAAAGGGAATGGGAGGGTGGGTGGAGCAAGTGATCAGGGCATTGGGATTTACTGACCCAAGCAGTAGTGGGGAGGAGGGTGGGGCTGGCGTGAGGAGGAGGGGGACACAGAGGCCCCACCCACTAGGACGTCAATTCCCCAGGCCTCCCTCCCTCCCCAGAGGCTCATTCCCCAGGGCGGGCTCCTCCCGTGAGAACTGCTGTTTAGGCAGCGGGCGCCCAGCCACATGTATGTGCCAGGAATGAGGCTGGGCTACAGGGCGGGCACTGTGCTGGGCAGCCATCTGGGAGGCGCCAGACAGGGCTGCCCCTTGCTGGGGCCTGGGGAAGGGGATGGCTGTGGGCGGAGACTCCCCAGTGGGCCCAGGGAACCAGGCACCTCCTGCAGCCTGTGGAGCAAAAGCTGGGCAACACCTGGGAGATTGTTAGAGGTGTAAACTCTCAGGTCGTTCCCCAGACCTGCAGATTCATAATCTGTATTGTAACAAGGTGCCCAGGTGACTCCTATGCACATTTCAGTTTGAGAAGCCCTATTCTACAAGAGTCGGCCTGCATACCTACAGGTTTAAAAGGAAAAAGGCATCTTCCAGTTATAAATAGACAAACTTCCAGTTATAAATAAGTCCTGGGGATGTATATACAGCATGGTGACTATAGTTAACAAAAATGTATTGTATATTTGAAAGTTGTTAAGAAAGTAGATCTTGAAAGTTCTGTCACAAGAAAACAATTGTAACTGGATGGTGATAGATGTTAACTAGACTTACTGTGGCGATCACGTCACAACGTGTACAGACATGGAATCATGTTGCACACCTGAAACATGTCATATGTCAATTATATCTCAATGAAAAATCAAACCATAAAAAATTACCTTTCTTTTTCTTCTTTACATTTCAGTTAGAACACTATCTTCATTTTTTTCAAAATTAGGAGTGTATAAATAGTATGTATTATCTGTGAATTGCATTTCATTACAAGGAAGAAGGTATTGAGAAGTATTTGTTATAAAAAGGAGGTGGGGTATTCCGGGGCTAGCAACCCACTGATGAGCAACCCCTTGTTTTTAGTTGGCAACATTGGCCCTGACAGGACAGAAATGGAAGTGAGTGGCCCTTGAACCTGAGAAGCTTCCACTCTAGAAGGGGAGATGAGACAAAGATGCATATTGCCATCTTCTTCAGCCTCAGTTTCCTCACCCATGAAATGGGCTTAATCATCAGTCATCTCCACCAGCCTCCCCACAGGGTTAGACAGGCTCAAATGCAGGGCGGGGGGCGGGGGGGGCGGGGTGGGGGGGCTCTGTGAACTGCCTTGAACCTGAGGGGAGTGAGCCCCAGGTGTGCACTGCTGACAGCCCTGCCCTCTGCTGCCCCTCTCTGTCCTCCAGAGCCCAGCCCTGGCCCTCCCGATTCACTCCCAGCTTCAGCCCCCTCTGCGATCTCACTCTCTCTGTGTCCTTCCCATGCCGCAAAAACAAACAAACAAAAACCACCCATCTGAACCGCGCTCCAAATTAGCGCTGTTTCTGGGGAGAGCAAGCATGGACTGAGTGCTGACTACATGCCGGGCACCGGCGCTGCTCACACACTGGGTCTTTTATGCGGCCCTGAAAGTAGGTGACAATGATCCAATGAGAAACAGAGATGAGAAACTGGGGAGAGTGATCCGCTCCAGGTCGCACAGACAACAAGAGGCCAAGATGGAACAGGAACTCAAGCTTTTGGCTCCCACTACACCAGGCTTCCTTGGCTGGCAAACAGGAACCAACTTTCAGTGACCTCGGGAGGGATCCCCCAGTGCCAAGTTGAAAGTCCCCACGTCAGAGAGCTGGCTGGGGCCACGCTGCCCCACTCGCTGCAAGAGCTGGATCTAGAAGAGCGCTCCTTCCTCCGTCCCTCAAGTGTCGCTTCACTCATTCCGTGAATATTTATCAAGCACTGAATAACTGTCAACACAGTTCCAGGAGCTGGGACACACAGAAAGCAGACAAAATCCCTGCCCCCCTGAAGCTTTGAAACAAGTCACAAAGAAACAGGTCCACTCACAGCATGGTGTATAGGTGGCGTCGGGTGCTGTGGGGACAACAGAGCAGAGCAGGATCTTCAGCCAGTTTTCAAGTATGCGTCGCTGACTGTTTAGTCGGGGGCACGGACCTCTTTCCCCTTAGACTGTCCAATGAAAACAGGACAACAGCCAACACAACAATAGCTGTCCGGTGTGAATGAGTCAAAGTTATACCTATTTTTTTGTCAGAGCGGCAAAAGATATATTTCTTGGTGTGCTACAGAATTTTAGGAATTAGTTTGTGTGCCGTGAGATGAAAAACGTTGAACATCGCTGGAGTAGAGGACAGCTGGGCCAGAGAGGGAGGCTGCTATTCTCACTGTGTTGTTTGGAAGGCCTCACTGAGAAAGGACACATGGAGGAAAGACCAGGAAGAGCTGGGGGAGAAGCCACCTGCCTAGCAAGGCGAAGAGGTGCAGGGACAGATAGATGCAAGAGCCATTGCCACCTCCTGAGGTGGGAGACGAATGTCAAGGAAGCCCCTGGGCCTCCTTGATGAGTGACGGGAGGGGGAACAAGGTGGGGTGGGGTGTTCAGCAGATCCTTGTGGTGATTGGAAGGATGGGCTTTTACTTCAAGTGTGATGGAGGCATTAAAGCAACATGATCTGCCCTGGCTGGTGTAGCTCAGTGGGTTGAGCTCGGGCTTCGAACCAAAGCATTGCATGTTCGATTCCCAGTCAGGGCCCCCAGCAACCGCACACTGATGTTTCTCTCTCTCTCTCTTTCTCCCTCCCTTCCCTCTCTAAAAATAAATAAATGAAGTCTTAAAAAAAAAACCATGATCTGAGGTGTTGGGTTTTTTTAAAGATCTGTTTTTTTTTTTAGAGCAAAGAGAAGGGAGGGAAAGAGAGAAGGAAAAAAACATCAGTGTGAGAGAGAAACATCCATTAGTTGTCTCTCTCACATACCTCAAACCTGGGACCAAACCAGCAACCCAGACATGTGCCCTGAGTGGGAATCAAACTGGCAACCTTTTGCTTTGCATGACACGCAACCAACTGAGCCACACCGGTCAGGGCCTGACTTGGGTTTAAGAAGATCATTCTGGCCTTGGCCAGTGTGGCTCAGTGGACTGAGCCTGTGAACTGAAAGGTCACCTGTTCCGTTCCAGTCAGGGCACATGCCTGGGTTGAGGGCCAGGTCCCTAGCTGGGTGTGTGCGAAAGGCAGCCAATTGATGTCTCTCTCCCATCAATGTTTCTTTCCCATCAATGTTTCTCTCCCTCTTGTTCTCCCTCCCTTCCCCTCTCTAAAAATAAATTAAAAAAAAAATTTGTTAAGGGATCACTCTGGCTGCTGGGTTGAAAAGAGACTGTAGAAGGCAAGTGCAAAAAGCAGGGGGCCAGTGAGAGAAAGGGTAATGGTGGGACATGACAGAAAAGGGAATAAAAAATGGCCTTGGATTTTCAGTCCAAGAACTGGCAGTTGCCATTTGCTGTGGGAGAAGCAATTCCGTTAAGAATTCAGCTTTGGCCTTGGCCAGGTAGCTTGGTTGGAGCAATGGGCTGATGGGTTGGGAGCAAGTGGAATCAACCAATGAGTGCGTATGTGGGTGGAGCGACAAATCAATGTGTGTGTGTGTGTGTCTCTCTCTCAAACCAGTGAGAGGAAAAGGAAAAAAAAGGCGAGGGAGCACTATTACAATGGGAGAAAATTTTGCAAATCATGTATGTGATACAGGACACATATCTAGAATATATAAAGACTTCTCAGAACTTAATAATAATTTTTTTCAAACAATACAGTTAAAAATGGGCAGAGGATTGATTTGAATGAACCTTTCCCCAAAGCTATAGATGGGCCAAAAAACACATGAAAAGATAGTCAACGTCTTTAGCCCCCCAAGAAATCAAAATCAAAATCACAAGGAGATACAACTTCATACCCACTAAAATGATGAGAATCAAAATGACAGGTAATTACTTGTGTTAGTAAGGACGTACAGAAATCATAACCCCCACACACTGCTGCTGAGGATGTAAAATGGTGTAGCTGCTTTGGAAAAAATCTCAAATGGTTAAACATAAGGTCACCTTATGACTAGCAATTCTACTCCTAGGTGCAAATCCAAGAGAAATGAAAACATATACCCACACAAAAAAGTATACACGGATAACACCAGGAGAGAGCCCTCATGTAAGCTCTGGACTCTGGGTGATGGTGAGGTGTCAATGAAAGTTCATCGGCTGTAACAAGTGGGCCACTCTGGTAGGGTTTCGTTGACAATGGGGGAGACTATGCAATATGTGGGAGCAGAAGCTATAAGGGAAATCTCTGTACCTGCCTCTCAATTTTGCTGTATCTAAAACTGCTCTAAAAAGAGTTTAAAGAAACTTGTACATGAATATTCATAACAGCATTCATAATAGTCAAAGAGTGGAAACATCCCATATGTACATTAACTGATGAATAGATAAATAAAATGTGTTATATCCATGTATCCAGGGAATATTATTTGGCAATAAAGAAAAAATAGTCCTGGCTGGTGTGACTCGGTGAAATGAGCACTGGCCTGTGAACCAAAGGGTTACCAATTCTATTCCCAGTCAGGGCACATGCCTGGGTTGTGGGCCATGTCTCCAGTAGGAGGTGTGGGAGGGGCAACCACACAGTGATGTTTCTTTCCCTCTCTTTCTCCCTCCCTTCCCCTCTCTCTAAAAATAAATAAAATCTTAAAGAAAAAAGAAAACAATAATACATGCTACAGCACAGATGAACCTTGAAAACATTATGCAGAGTAAAAAAAAATCACAAAGACAATATAGTATGTGATTCCATTTATATGAAATGTCCAGAATAGGTCAATCTGTATAGAAACAGAAAATAGTTTAATGGTTGCTTAGCACTGTGAGCTGCAGGGATTGGGGAAAAATAGGGAGTGACTGTAAAAGGTACAGGGTTTCCTTAGGGGCTAGTGGAAATGTTCTGAAATTCATTACAGTACTGGTTGAATAACTCTGTGAGTATACAAATCAGTGTTGAGTTGTACACTTTATATGTGTGAAGTGAGAGATTGCTCCTGTGTCAAAAAATTAGTGCCTAGTGCGATTCCAGGCTCTTGTTCGGCATCCCAAAGCTGAGGAGGGGCCAGTGCAGGCACCAAAGCTCTCCCCAGAACTCTTTCTCCCTTCCCGCTTCCTCAAATCATGTAAGGTGTGAATGGAAGAGCCTGACTCCTATTTCACTCCCATTTTACAGAATAGAAAACTGAGGTCCAGATAGGGAAAGTGACTTATCTCTATGTCACTAAGACTCAATTATCATAGAGACCAAGTTCCTTTTTAAAATCAAAGTCAGAATGAATACGGGAAATTTGTACAGGATAAAAGACTCATATATAACATTTGAAAGCCAGCTGGACTCTTCAGGGTGTACCCCAGCTGCCATTGTTTCCCTCCATTCACTAGGATAATTAAAGTTTGGTTTTGGTGAAAACGAGGAAGTCTAGTGAGCATTCCTCTTCTGTCTCAGTATACCTACCTCCCTCTCTACCTCTCTCTCTCTCTCTCTCTCTCTCTCTCTCTCTCTCCCTCTCTCGCCCCCCCACCCCCGCAACCCTCTGCTTTTCCCTCTATCCTCTTCCTACATCCCCAAGTCACCCCCACCCCCATCATAATGATGTTCAGATCCTGTGACTGGGCAAACATGGGACCAATTAGCTTTGGGAATAGAAGTGCCTACAGAAGGGTGATTCACAGTACATGAATTTGCTAATTGCTCTTCCTAGCACAGACAGAAGGAAGGAGAGAGGAAAAGAGATCTAAGTTTCCTTCCTTAGAGAACTTGATTCAGTCGTGTGGACTGGGCACAGCACAAGGCCACCCTCACAAGGCCCTGCCCCTGTGTAGTTCCAACCCCAGTTAGTCTCCCTGGGAAAATCCCTTCTGCTTTCTGGACCCCAGGTTTCCCATCTGTAAAGTGCAAAGAGAGTGAACAAAATGATTGTCAAAAGACCTCCCAGCTTAAGCCTTCAGGATTCTAGAAATGGGTGGCTTAGCACCTTCTCTGCTGCCCAGCCTAGAAACAAGCATGAGGAGATAGGGCAGAAGTGGATCCAGCAGACTCAATGGAAATATCACCTCATTAGGGAGGCCTTCCATGATTACATCATCTAATGATGTGACTGATGTCTCCAATTCTCTTTCTCGCTCAGCATATCTCTCTTTTTCACACTCACATGCACATATGGCTGCTCCCTCTCCCATTATCCTGTTTTATTTTCTTCTCAGCACTATCTGAAACGTCTTATACACGTGTTTACTTGACTTGTCTTTCTATACTACAACGTTAGTTCTAAAGGTCAGGAATCTTGCCTCTCATAGCTCTGGGCCTAGTCCAGCACCTGGTATACAGTAAATGCTTAGTATATATGTGTTGTCTAATGTTTGAATGAATGAATGGATCTGTGGGTGGTACCAGAGCTGTGCCCAGCATGGCTGTGATCTGTGCCAACTCTTCCACGAGGAGCAGCTGAGAAATAGGGCTCTGGAGTCAGGAGACCTGGATTTGAGTCCCACACTGCCAATTAGTGGTTGTATCACCTTAGGCATTTCACTCGACCTCTCTAAGCCTTGATTTCTTCATCTGTAAATTGAGGATAATGATCCCACATTGCAAGATGTATTTTTAGGAATTAGAAGTGATGTATATAAAGTGATCTGGTCATAGCAGGTATCTAGTAAATGTTAGTTTCCTTTCTCTTCCTTTCTCTGCTGAGGCACAGAGACCAAGGGTTTGGAGATTCTGGACTCAGCCAAAAGAGGCTGCTTATCTATTTCTCATCTTTCAAGAGAAGGTAAAACAAAATTGCAGGCAACTTAGCTGAGGACAGTGCAAGGGACTTGGCCAAAGTCATACAACCAAGCAATAAAGTAAGCAGCAGGTCCCCTCCCTGGGGAACAGAGGAAGCCCCTAATCCCAAACAAGATGGAGAAAGGGGACAGGGCAGGATCTTGCTTGTGCTGGGCCTCCAGAAAGAAGAAGTGGCTGTTCTGGTCTGAGAGTCAGCCTCCAGGGTTCTAGTCCTATGTTTGTCATAGGCAAGCTGGTGACTTTGGAATATAGTGCACTATTTCCAGTTTTGATTTCTCTTTCTGTACACTGGGCATATTACTCCTTGCCCAGCCTGCCTTACAGAGTGGGAGTGTTAGGAGAATGATATTTAATTTGATATATTGTTAGGTGCATGGCATTTCACTTAAGAGAAAAATATTGTAGTGATGAATCAGACAGATTCAATTTCTAAAATTTTGCCACAAAAAACATATATTAAAATTCAGAAAAAAGATTAAAAGTAATAATAAACTGAATCCCTCTGGGCTCCGTAAAGTGGGAAAAAACAGTATTTCAATAGAACACATGAAAATTTCTGGCTATCTATAAATAAATCAAATTTTTAAAAATATTGACTGAGCACCTTCTTTGGGATGGACGAGGGAACTCACTCAGAGGGGTTTAGTGACTTGCCTAAGGGCACACAGGACCTGAGAAGGCTGAGAAAAGGCTGGCAGGGAAGATTTCCACCGGCCACCCAGGAAGCCCCTGACAGACAGTGCTGCAGAAGGGCCTGAGACGCTGGGTCAGGAAGACAAAGCCCCCAGTTCCAGTTTCCCTCTATCTTCCAGTCCAAAACAAGCCCTGGGTCTGTGCAAATTTAGTGGAATGAGCACGCGCCCACAGATTCTACGGTCCACGGTCAGCACCGGGGCCGACCTTGAGAGAGTCATGCACATCCCCTCTCTGAGCAGGTTTCCCCTCCTCTGAACATGAACCTTAAGGCTGGCCAGCCTGTGGTTGTCAAGGGCCCATCAAGAGAGTGCGTTATAAAGTCTCTACCTCGGTATACTCTCAGTTACCTTTCTTCACTTCTGGAAGATTGCGGGAAAGCAGGAGGAGCGCTGTGTGGAGTTGAACAAGTGGCACAGTCTCTCTGGGCTTCTGAAAACAGTGGATGACTAGGACCAGGCCAGGTGTTTCTAAATTCCTTCCAGCGCCAAAAACAAACAAAATAAACCCTGACATTTCTTAGTGGTTTGACTCCGCGGCAAACTCCACTGGTCACCTCCCTCCCGTCTGCCCTGAGAGAGCGCAATCCCTTTAAGTCCGAGGCCTGCACGGCCGCGGCCAATCACTGGGAACAGAAGTTCTTTAAGGACCAAAGGAGGGAATTTAGTCGAGAAGGGGGCGGGGCACGGGCGTGCCTCTCAACCAATCAGAATTTCCCTGGGTCTGCTGGCCAATGGCAGGGCTGTCGAGAGGCGGGGCAACTCTAGCTGTCTGACAGTTGCCGGTACCAATGGGCATGCCGCCCGCGGCATATAAAAGGTCGCTGGGCCTGAAGCGACAAGCTTTAGGGTCGGTAGGTCGTCGCCGTCGTAGGTGTGCCCTTGGATCGCCTCCCCGTCGCAGCCGTCCGGTCCCTGCAGCCGCGCGCCCCGCCTTGGCTCCGGCCCAGCCGCTCTCCCTGCCCTCCTCCCCTTAACCACCCCCGGTTTCTGCTGTCGGGGCCCCGGGACAAGGTTAATGATGCCGTCGGAGAGCCGAGCTGAGAGCCAGGACCCGGCGGCTGCTCAGGTTGGGACGGCTGCGGCCTCGGCGGTGGCCAAGGCCTCCCAGACAGGCGGCGGCCCCGACCCGGAAGCCTCCTCGGCTTCCCTCGGACGGCACCTGAGTGGGCTGGGCTGGCCACAGGTGAAGCGGCTGGACGCGCTCCTGAGCGAGCCGATTCCCATTCACGGGCGCGGCAACTTCCCTACGCTGAGCGTGCAGCCGGGGCAGATCGTGCAGGTGAGAGGGCGCTGGGTGAGAGGTCTGGGGTCTCTATCCTGAGACTCTCGTGGCTGGAAGGACCCTGGAGTCTACTCGATTCGCTCAACAGCTATGGAAAATCAGGGTCAAAGAGCGACAGAGGCTGAAACAGAATGGTACAGCACTGATGGTAGATTATATCCCCTACCCCCTGCACCTCATAATACCTCGCCTCTTGGCTTTCCCTTCCTCCACCCCTGGGGAGCCCCGACTCCCCTCGAAATTCACTCAAGCTCTGGCTTGGAGGGGAGCAGAATGAGGAGAGATTTGGCAGCTGGCAAAGAATAGTCCCGCCTACAAGGACAAAAGACGCCAGGCAGCTCTGGGTAGGTAGGTGTGCCTTCTTGGGTCCAAAATATTTCCTTTCATTTCCAAATCGCCACTCCTGGGTCTCACTGCCACACTTTCCCTCACTCAAGGTTCTGGGGGCAGACTCTGTCCTGTGCTCCCGCAGCCCTTGAATCAAGAGCCCCCTAGCTACGTGGAAGAGCCAAGAAATCCTGACAAAGACCCTCTTAGCTGGGATTGTGGCCAGAGGATATTAAGCACCTGGCCAGACCCGATGCCCGCATGCTGAAAGGCAACTTCAGGTGTCCAGTTTAGGTGTTTCTTCTCCTCCCCACTGGAAATGAAGGTCAGACCAGGTCCCAAGCCCCATTTGTGTCCTGAGGAGCAGGAGAAGAGAATTCTGGCAATCCCCTTCCTCTTCCCCAGACTCCCTCTTCCCTTTACCAGACCTTCAGCAACCCTAAAATTGCTCTTTCATCTGTATAGCCCGTGCACTGTCATGCTCTGAAATACTAGAATATGGTCATTGTTGTGCCCATTTTATAGCTAGGGAAGCTAAGGCCCCAAAAGGGGAAGTGAGCTGCTTAAGACTACCTACAGAAGTGAAAATCAAATGCAGAGAATCTTGGGTCTTCCCAGGAGCTGCTTCCACCCCTTCCCCAGCTCCCAATACTCAACTTTTAAGTCTTATGAGATGTCTTCTGATAGGAAGAAACCAGAAATCAGCCACAATTCCTGCACTTTCCTACCAGAGATGGACTTTCTTTCCTGAGCAGTAGCCAACAAGCTAGGTGAAGCCTTAGCTTCCACAGAGAGGGAGGGGTGCTCACTGGGGGATTTACCTTGCACTCCCTCCCAAGGAATGGGAGGGGGTGGGGGCAGATTCTCCAGGGCTGACTCACCTGCAGCCCAGTGGCACCTCACAGAGGCATTCCTCCGCTGCCCGCTGGCATAGAGTAATTAGGAAACCATTTGAGGCTTTGTTCCCCGACATAGTCAGGTCAACATTGAGCCCCAACTGCTGTACCTCCAGGCTGTTGTCCTAGGCATGGGGGAGGGAGTGGAGGAGCCCAGTGTGGCAGCTCTCCTCTGCAAGGACAAGGGGTGCCCTGGAGGAGAAGTACCTGCCCTTGTCAATATAGTCCAAACTGCCTTTCCTAGTGCTGCTCTGTGCCAAGCCCTCTTCATAGATATGACTGGTACCCAGCCTTTCTGCTTTCCAGGTCCTCCCAGCCAGGTGGGGGAGACTGCAGGCCAATAGGAGCTGCCTTTACAATGCAATAATAGTACAATGTCCTCCTAGACAAGGACCAGAGACATCATAGAACAGGGAGCTGCTTGCTGTGGTGGGGAAGGGCAGCAGAGACTTCAGAGCGGGACTGGGAGGTTTGGGACCTGTAATGTTATCTGTTCCCTTGGCTGGGCCCAGTGTCCCTATCTGTTCAATGGGGATGGGTTGGACTGCTCTCCAACACCCTTCCTGGTTCTAGAATCCAAAGGGAACAGGTGCCTTCACCTGGCCTGTGCGCTTGCATCCACAAGGGAGAAAGTCCATCTCCTGGTAGGAATCTGCAGCTGGCAGCAATCTGCTGCTGGCAGCTTCACAAGCTGGTGGGAAATTTGCAGTTGGGGGTGCTGGGGGTATGTGGTGTAGGTGCTGGTTGTTAACTTTGGGCTTCTTACCAGTGCTGAGTAGCCACACAGTTCAAGAATTGGAATCTCTCTCTTTTCCCCACAAGGGTTTCACAGCAGAAATTTAAGCACCTAGAGATGCTCTTCTTGCTTGTACCTGGACTAGGGGGACCCAAGCTTTTGTAGGAAGACCCCTGCAGTCTGGGAGGCCTGGTTATAATTAAGCTCAGCCATATATTGCCTGCATGACCTTGGATAAGTCATTTGCCCAAGATCACAATCTTATCTCTCCAGCTGCAGCCAGACGGTGTGTATGAGGTGGGTTTGAAGTTTTATTAGCCTGCTGTCTGGTGGCACCTACAGTCTCCCTGCAGGTCTCAGCAGTGGCCTGGGAGCAGAGTGGTTCCAGGGAAGGGCCTTGCACAGGAGAAAGGAGGGTACAGCCACTGCCCCCTCCATGGCGGGCAAGTCTGATTCAGGAGGCTCCAAGCTGCCCTGCAGTCTTTGGGTGTGGCAGTATCTGGGCACTGTCTGCCAAGCTGGCTGTAGTCACACCTGGGAAAGAGACAACAGCTTCTGTCTGGCTGACATAGCTGGCTGGCCCCATGGCCTGACGCAGACGATTTAACAAGGGTACTGCTACCTACTCGCCAGGCCAGATGCCATGCCCTGGGGTGGGCATCAGCCTGGGAGCAGGAGCTGGCACTGAGTAAGGCTTAGCTTTAATGATACTTAGGGAGGGGGCTGGTCTGCTCTGCAGGGCTGATCAGGTCTTTGAAACAAGGTCTTTGGCCCATCTCTGTCCTTGGTCTACATGCACATACCTGTCAGGGTGTGTGTAAAAAGTCCCACAGGCTGGACTGCATCAACTGGCCCCTTACCTCCAGCCTCCCCTGTCTGTCTAGCCAAGTCATTTTCTCAACCCTCATCTTCCTGCTCCCCAACTATTCTGGCTGTGGGCTTCAGTGACTGGAAGCTTTGGCCTCACTTTAAACTTTTAGAGGGAGGGAGGGAGGATAAACCCTATGTTCTGGTCTGTGCTCCCTCTCAACCCTGGAACAGCAATGTGGTAAAAAGGGGATGATGGAGTTTGGAGTGAATCAGACCTGAATTTGAAGGCACCTCTGTATGGTCTTGGGCATGTGACTTCACTCCTGGGAGCCTCAGGGTCCCCCTCTATAACTTGGAGATTATAAAGACCTATCTCCTGTAGATTCCGGTGAGAAGGCCCGGTGCCTGGCACCCAATAGGTACCTAACCAATACTCTTCTACCCCTCCCCCAGCTGCCCCCTTGCCCTTGCAAGATTCTGATGGCCAGTCACTCACCTCCCCCAGAGCCATAACAATACCTTCCCGAAAGTCAAGGTCCTCCTCCCGGAAGCATCTCTGGAGGGACCCGCCCGCCTCAGATTGCCCCACTGCGCTTGCCTTCTCAGCACTTAGGAGCATTCTTTGCAGTCATTCCCTGGGAGGTGAGGAGGGCATCCCCTCCGCAGGCGCGCTGACTTGGCAGCACGGGTTGCAGAATCACTCGGGGAAGGAATGCTGCCTGGTCACTTTCAGGATAGTGTGTGAAGTACTCTGAGTTGCTGAGAAAACTGTTCAGCCCAGCTCTCCTTTTCTCCCCACCTGGTCCTAAGCCTGGGAAGACGTGCCTGGCTAGAGGAGCAGGTTCAAGAAAACTCGTAGGTTTGCCGGTCATATGCTCCTGTGGCAGCAGGTGGGATCTGCTACATCTCTTCTCACTTGGTGTGGGAAGTTTCCTGAGCTCTTGACCCATCCCCTCTCCCAAGAGTGGAAATGGTCTGGGTTTTAACTCCAGCTGTACCGGTTCTGAATAGCTTTTCCTCGGAGCCTTAGATATTTCACCACTGTAAGCCTCAGTCTCCTCTTCTTAAAATGAGTATAATATTTGCCTCATTGTGTCCTTGTAAAGATGGTTTAAGATGAGTATCTCAGAGTCAAAAGAACGTGCCTGCACTTGAGAATCCAGCTGACCTGAGTTCTGCTCTCAGCTCTTCACTATCTTAGTGTGGATGTGTGCAGCCTCTCTGTGCCTCGGATCCCCACCCATAAACTGGGATTATAGTACTCAAACACAGGGTAATAGTGATAATACACAGGGATAATAGTACCTGCCTTACAGGGTTATTGTGAGAATTACATGAATTTATATCCTAACATATAAAGTGCTTAGAATAATACCTGGCTTTTAGTAAATTCTGTGCTTGTGTGTGTTACCATTATTGCTGTGCTTTCTGAGGCTTTCCTCCAATAGGCCACTCTCTAGCTTAGGAAATCGATGCTTAGAGAGTTCAAA